GCTATGTATATATATATATATGTATGTATGTATGTATGCATACACAAACATGCACACATTTATATATTTGTCTACATGAGAAATACAATTCCTACACCTCAAAAAAAATGATGGGAAGTGTCCAGATATGTCTCTAAGTCTGGCCAGGGTAATCTCCAAGGTAAAACAGTTCTTTAAATATATACACATAGAGCAGAGGGGGTGTGTGTATACACGTATATGATTCCTTTTTATGTGCACCCTCATATATATTACATATGCAAGAAATGCCTTTCAGACACAGATAATATGTACATACACCTATACACACACTATATATAGGCATATATACGAGATATAATTCAGATGTATATGTGCATATGTACACAAATGCATACATGCTCTTATATTATTGTTGTGAGCGAGCTATACAAAGAGATGACTGATGAAATAAGCCATACGTGAGAGCTCTATGTCTGTCTCTTGCTCTTTTATTTATTAATAAAAGATGTGTGTGGGCAGAGGAGGGTGTGCTCGGTGGGATTGCTCTTGTCCTCACTCACTAGTGCAAACACACACACACACACACACACACACACACACACACACACACACATATATATATATATACACACACACAGCTGCTCTGTGCAATGCTCTCTGCATATGCATTGCAGGTGAGCATAATATCATAGATATAGAGAGAGAAAGGCACACATCTAAGGATATTAAAAAAAAATGCACAAGAGATATGTGTTATGCATGCACATGTGATTATCTATAAATATCCCTCCATCTCCTACGCGCACACATCCACATGCAGTATAACCATGGGGATCGAGGGCGTGTGTTGATGTATAGAGCTCCTGTCTCAGTCTGTATTTGTGTGTACGCAGAGCGATGAGATCCCTCACACAGGGATACAAAGAACAGTTAAAGTGAACTGTGTGAGGAGGTAGCTCTGTGTTTATACATGAACAGCTCGGAGAGAAGAATGAATAATAGAAAATGTGCACACACTATACGTATGTATACACTCTAGATATGCTATAGATACCTTCAGAAAGAAGGTGATGAAAAATATACACACACAAATGCATGTGTGTGCATGCACATGCGCGCAAGCTTGTACAAAGAGAGTGCTAGGAAATGTACACATATAAGGACATAAAATCATAATTAAGTATAAGTAGTTTATATATATATATATATATATATATGTATATATTATATATGTGTATGCTTATGGCATATATGTGCATGTATACATAGATATACAGGCATATATTTACACACACACACATTTACATAGCTATACATGCTTTTGTGAGTATGTGTTTATGGACAAACAGTGCTTATCTCCATACATACAAATAAATCTATAACAGAGTTTCTGTATTATATATGTAGACATATATGTTTATGTACATATAGGTACATATATCCATATATGTGTACATATATCCATACATATACATGTATGCATATGCATACATATACATGTGTGTATATGCATACACACAGAGTATAACCATGGGGATAGCTCTGTGTGTCTGTGTGTGTGTGTATATATATATATGCATGTAGGTATATATATACATATATATATACACACATATGTATACACATGTGTGTGTGTGTATATATATATATATACACACATGTGTATACATATACGCATACACACATAGGTATACACACGTGTGTATTTGTATATATACACATATGCAGTATAACCATGAGGATGGGGAGGGGGTCTGTGTGTGTGTGTGTGCGCGCACATATACACCCCCACCCCCAGCAGTCTGTATTTGTGTATATACAGAGCCATGCCATCGCTTTCACA